CATGCCTTTGCAACGTCGATACGTCGTTGTGTAACTCTGTCTCTCTCGCACGCGCTGTGCGTGTTAGTGCGAGTTACTCGGTCAAACGACAACGCATGTAATATGACTCATGCTTCCTATACATGTAGGCCTACTGGCTGTATAAGCGCTCATGCCTGCGCTGAGCCCGTACGAAATAAAAATCAAATCGAACTCATTTACAATGTAATGCAGTGTGAGTTGAGGCCGAGGTTAGCGGCCTCGGTACTCACTATCGAAATTTGAAATAAGTCAAAAAGTATCGATTATAATTTGTTGGGAAATAATGAATAGAATCAAAATCGCTGGCAATGTAATGGGAAGTGGGTCGAGGACGCAGCATCGGCCTTGGTACTCACTACCGACATTTGAAATATATCAAAACTATATGGGTTTGGATTTTTTTTTCTGACCCTTGGTAAACGTTTCCAAGCAAGCTAAACATACGACACTTTCGGCTAAAAATGCCGTAATCGCGCGGGGTGGCCGACTTATGCTGGACGCGCTCATATATCAAAATTGATTTTTAAATTGGAAAGCAAATTAAATTAATTATCACGCTATTTAAGACATTTGAGTAAATCATAAATATTAAGTTAGCTGTGCTCGACGGCAGGAGTCATTGATGATGTTATAGCTGTTGAAGATGTCAAAGCGATAATAGCCGTTGATCAATCTAGTTCCACTACTCACGACACTTGAACACACTCGAGATTAATTGTTGCTCAGCTTATATACTTTTAGTTTCACTCTCATGCGTCAACATCTTTCACTCTTGTTTGCAAGAAAGCAGAGGAAAGCGCATGTTGCAATCTTCGACATTGCCCAATACAAATGCTATTTTTGTGGATTTGCCGAATTACGATGCACATTGTTGTGGCGACGATTATTGTTGTTCATTTTCAATGTCGTTTGATGCATGGTCATGCCCTTCAATATTTTTCCTTTGCCGTCATTAATTTACCCGAACTCTTGCATATGCTTATATTCGTTTCATTACGTACATTATCAATTCAACATACTTGTAACATGTCTTATACCAAGCAGCGCTCGCTTATGCGTGCGAACACTCATATAGTATCGCGCTTGCTTTTTGGTGCAAATAGTCATAGAGTCACGCTCGATAATACGTGTGACCATTTATGCTGCTTTGTTCCTATCTAAACGTATGAGATGTACAATTTTGTACGCTACTTGTGACTTGTTTTTGACGCGTCTCTTGCTGGGGCGTTTATTAAATAGATGATCTATGGATCATTACTTCAAGGGCAGGTTTTCATGAAACTAAATAAAAAAATCGATTTTTTTTTCTTACTTAGTTAGCAAATGAGTTAGCAAAATCGATTTGGTTAAATAGTTATAGGCAAAAAATTGTATCAATTTTTAACTTTTTTGCAATTATTTCGGTTCAACCTCCAGCAAATATTATCTAGTTTAAGAGGAACTTCGAATTTTTGGTTTCGAACCAAAACTGAAGGCGCTACTTTGGCGCCCGTTGAGCTATCTTTTTTTAACACCACCTCCATTAGGGTGGAGCGAAGTGGGCGAAAAATTTTAGATCACTTTGGAATAGTGTTCAAAGTTCATCTTTTACACAAACAAAACAACAGCCGTTCGCTAGACTTTAGCAAATGATATTTTCTACTGCAACCAGACCGTAAAACTCCGTTTTTTCGTATTTTTTCGTTTTTCTCGAATGAAAATTGAACTTTAAGCCAAATAAACGAAATAAAACGTACCGGACCCTTATAAATTGATCCAACCTTTTTTAAAATACAATAACAATCAGTTTTGATTGTTATAGTTACTCTTAAAAACTCTTGTCTTACTGGTATAGCTCCAATAACGACGATTTTTCGACTTTTTTTGCGATTTTTTGTGCATTTTCGATATCGTCCCGAATGCGTAATCTGTAATAAAAAACAAGTCTGAGACCGGTAATCGCTTTGTCAAGAAGTACACTTTGAAGGTACAAACGCTCATTTTGATCGAGCTATCTACTTATAAAAAAGAGAACGGCCGAAAAGTGAAGCCGCGTAAAACGACCTCTGATTGGCTGACACTGACGACGACGCCCGACGCGAGCCGACTCTATACGAGTGCCTGTGCTGCTAACTGTCAACAGACAGTTAGTACTTGAGTAACCTCAAAATTCGAATGAAAAAATTGACGCGCGCGAAGCGCGTTTGAAACGTACTATTTCTGAACTATTTCTGAATCTTAAACTAACCTCAAAACACAAATAAAAAAATTGATACGCGCGGAGCGCGTCTTAAACGTCTAGTAAGGAAAAAAACGTACCGGACTAGATTTCAGTATATTCACAGTTTATTATGCAAATAGTGTATCGGACAATTTATCACGAGAACTGTACTTTTTTTATTCTAAAATATATTATGTTAATGAATATAAAAACATACAATCAAAAATACAATTTTTATTTCATAGTTTAATTTAAGCAAAAAGAATTAAAAATTGTATTACTACAAAATATACAAATTTCATTCAACGGCAAATTCTTTTTTTGTATTAAACATGGGCATCCGAGAGCGAGATTGCAAAGTGGATCGTATGAAACCGTCTCTATTTTCTTGACCACAAACCTTCTTCAAGTCTTCTCCTTCTCCTAGCTCAAAAACTACTATACATTGTATCTAACGTACATAAGAAGTTTTTTTTTCAAATTTTTTGAACGAATCGATAGTGCCAATTTTCGATAGCATGGAAAAATAGTATAAGGAGTGTAAAAAATGGCTGATGTTTTAGCTCGGTACGTTTTTTTCCTTATAGCTCGATCAAAATGAGCGTTTGTACCTTCAAAGTGTACTTCTTGACAAAGCGATTACCGGTCTCAGACTTGTTTTTTATTACAGATTACGCATTCGGGACGATATCGAAAATGCACAAAAAATCGCAAAAAAAGTCGAAAGATCGTCGTTACTGGGGCTATACCAGTAACACAAGAGTTTTTAGGAGTAACTATAACAATCAAAACTGATTGTTATTGTATTTTAAAAAAGGTTGGATCAATTTATAAGGGTCCGGTACGTTTTATTTCGTTTATTTGGCTTAAAGTTCAATTTTTATTCGAGAAAAACGAAAAAATACGAAAAAACGGAGTTTGACATTCTGGTTGCAGTAGAAAATATCATTTGCCAACGTCTAGCGAACGGCTGTTGTTTTGTTTGTGTAAAAGATAAACTTTGAACACTATTCCAAAGTGATCTAAAATTTTTCGCCTTTTTCGCTCCACCCTAACCTCCATTAAACGCTGCTAGGGAATGAATAATTCGATATTTTGGTCTGAAAAAATTTGTAAATATAGTTAAATACATACTTCATTCGTGCCAAAAAACTTGACTGCCTTATTCACTTCCTTCCACAAAAAAAAATCACGAAAAACACATCATTTTTAAGGCGCTAGATGAGAGCGTCCCTTTGAGGATGTTTATCCACTCTCGCATTTCCACCAAAACTCCAGAAAAAACATCCCGTATAACAATTCTTAAAAATTTTGCTGAAAAACCTTTGTGATGAATAGAATAATTTGAAATGCGAAATTTAATTATCTCAGTCATTTTGGAAGATACATTTCTTCAGTCTTTTCAAACCGAAAGAAACAAAGAAACTGATTAAAATGTGTTAACATAAACATATGTGAAAATGTATTCAATTTAAAGTCAATTAAATCATTGTATAATATATTCAAAGTATTGAAATATTTTTGAGGTTTATCGAGCAAATACTGTAATAGAAAACTTTATTATGGGGAAAGATATTGTAGAAATATTTATAGTAAAAATGGATCATAAAAAAAAAGATTATGAAACATTACAAAAAAAAATGTCTGCCTACCGTCGAATGGCGTAGTGTACCTCCAAGTTCTCTCTCAAAAAGTGTCACTAAAAGCACATCAAAAAGCTTCATCGAATCTAAGCACGAAGTCTAGCCAATCAATCTGATCACAGAATAAGATGGATCAGCCACTACTGAAGAAAATGATACTGTTTCGGTGCATATGGCTTGAGCTGGAGGGACTGTTTTTCCAGCCACAGCTGAGGTCAAGATCATAACAGATTCTGGCCTTAACCGAAGCAGTAACAGTTACAGTCACAGAATTACAAGCATCAAAATTTGCAATTTTTCTGTTCGGTGCAAGGAGATAAATGGAAGACCGGGCTTGACTGGGTGCGATGAGGTTGAGGACTCCCTTCCTTCAACAAATTGTGCAATTCATCGATACGTGTGGCCTTCTTAGAGTCAGTACAAAACTCAATACTTGAGTACAACGTGAAGCATACAGTTATTCTAATCAGTAATTCTTCGTTGACTCGCTGTTACCCAGATCACTTACACAGGATCATTCTTCAAGAAGGCGTTCAACTAATGCATTGAAATCGGATTTTCGGTGTTGCTTTGTTGCTGCAGACGACATCAAGGCAGGGGGCTATTTTGAATCTATGTTTTTATATATTCACACCTTTTCTGTATCGGATCGTCTTTGAATTTTTACTACGCGCGCTCCGTTAGGGGTCCTCATCGATCTTTCTAACGATTGCAGATTCACTTTTTTATTGACGGTGCTGTAAGAAACACAGCCAAATTTGACCTGAACTCACTTCATTTACAGCGCAAAGTTATTCTAATCTCTGTATAATTGCAGTGATACCATAGTGAGCTTATTTAAACTCACAATCAGTGTAAGTGTAAGCGTAGGTGACTCCAATCATTTCTCTCGCTATTGCTATTGAACAATGCACTGAAAATAAATTTAAAGGTGCTCCAACTAAATGCCAAAAGTTATATTATTTAAAACAATTCGTCAATGCATACAATTTTACGTTTTTATCTAAAAAAAAAAATAAAAAAAAAATAAATAAAAAAAGAGCATGTTTATCGTGTTGATTTGATCACGACGGTGTTACTAACTAAGTAAATAATTTTTTCTTGATTTTAATAATTGTATTGTTACATTTTTTCAGTTTTAGGACAAGCACTCTTGCAATGCTTAGTTTGTCTTTTGCCATTTCTTGATCACGATTCGATTGATACTTTAGCTTATACTATTTCAAGTGCAATTGTAGTGGTGGACGAAGATATGCATCAAGAAATCATAAACTATTTATGTTTTCACATATTTCCGTTTACAATTGGTAAGTTATAAATTTAAATCATATTTAATATTTGTTTTAATTTATGTTTTTAATTCAAACTATTAATTGCAGGTCGTAGAACTGTTGACGAATCTATAAATTATTCAAGTCAATCGGTGTCAGCCGTCATTATGATAATATTTGAATATTCAAAAAGTACTGGTGAGCATAATTTTTTTCAATCTTTATGCCAATTACGAACGATATAGATGTCGTATTGTGGAGGCAATTCAGAATTTCGCTTCATAGTTAAAATGAGAAATAATGATAATAATAGTAATAACATTGAAGTGTGGAGTGTTTTTGTTATTGCCTTTCAATGAAGTTTCAAAAATTCCATAAATCCAATTTTTTACTTCAATTGAAGTAGATTTGTCGTTCATGAAACGTTGTAAAATGGTATTTTTTTTTTTTTTTTTTTTTTTTTTTTTTTTTTTTTTTTTTTTTTTTTTTTTTTTTTTTTTTTTTTTTTTTTTTTTTTTTTTTTTTTTTTTTTTTTTTTTTTTTTTTTTTTTTTTTTTTTTTTTTTTTTTTTTTTTTTTTTTTTTTTTTTTTTTTTTTTTTTTTTTTTTTTTTTTTTTTTTTTTTTTTTTTTTTTTTTTTTTTTTTTTTTTTTTTTTTTTTTTTTTTTTTTTTTTTTTTTTTTTTTTTTTTTTTTTTTTTTTTTTTTTTTTTTTTTTTTTTTTTTTTTTTTTTTTTTAATGGGAGCGATGGGCTCAGTTTATTCGAAAAGAAAAATGTATTACAATACATTTGCGTATTTTTGCTACATAAGTTATGTAAGGTAAGAGGTGGAGAGATAAATATAAAACAGAAAGTGTGATAGACCCATCGACATCTCCTTCTGCCCCTGTTTGACCCCCGCGGGACCGCCGTTGGGCATTACTTCGCGGGGAGGGGCTGGGCTGGTCCACCAAGCTCGTCACGTTTGCACTGTTTGTTGTTTCGTCTTCTTCATGCCGCGTCGTCCGGTCATCTTCTTCTGGCCATCTCTTCGGCTCTCAGTCTCGTTATGACTGATTTGGCGAAGGTGGCTACCGCAAGCCAGTTTTTTTTGTCTGCTAGCATTAGCTGGACGACATTCTCCGGCCTGGCAACTTCTTGGAGCTGACGGTGGAGCTTTTCTCTTTCCTCCTCAAATCGAGTGCAGTGGAAGAACACGTGCTCTGCGTTTTCGACCGTGTTGGGGCAGGCCGGGCAATCCGCGCTGGCGTTGCGGTCGTAGCGCTGGCTTTGATGTTTGAAGTAGCCATGGCCTGTCAGGAGCTGGGTGAGGTGATAGTCTACCTCTCCGTGTCTCCTGTCTATCCACAAACTGATGTTTGGGATCAGCCTGTGCGTCCATCGTCCTTTAGTCGAGCGATCCCATCGGCTCTGCCATCTTCTTAATGTCTCCTGGCGTTCTTCAGCTCTCGCATCTTCGTGGCGACGCTGATAGAGCCGGCTACGCTCGTCTGCCAGTAAGGCCAGCGGTGGTATGCTGGCAACGACGTAGGTAGCGTCGTACGAGAGGTGCGGGCGACCACTGATGACACGTAGGCAGGCTCGCCGATGGATTGCTTCCGCCCGACGGATGCCGGCCCATGTTTCGGCTCCGCAGCTCCAGATGGGGGCGCCGTAGAGGAGGATCGAGTCGACGACGTTTGCGTAGAGCCGCCTTCGACTGCTCCTGGGGCCACCGATGGTCGGCATGATCTGCGAGAGGGCAGCCGCCACTCTCGATGCCTTCTCGCTTGCCGCTCGGAGGTGATCATTGAACGTCATCCTAGCGTCCAGTTGCACGCCCAGGTAGCGGATGCAGGGAGAGGAGGCGATGAAGCAGTCGCCTACTTCGATGGTGATGGTCTCCAACCTCCTCTTCTTCGATAGCAGCAGGGCCTCAGTCTTGTGGTCCGCCGTCTCGAGGCCTAGCCCCCACAGCGCGTCGCGTACTCTTGCGATGGCGCGGCTAAGCATGTCCTCGACCTCGTACGTCGTCCCCGGTTGTAAAATGGTATTAATAAGTAGTACATCTATCATTCTCCAATGTTACATTTTATTTTTCTTCTTTTACTATTTTCACTGTAACATTAAATTTTATGCGTCAACCTGTAGCCTTCATGATTTTTTTTATCAGATTAATATAAATATCTTATGTGTTCAAAATTATCTCGAAGAGAAATAAAAAGGAATGTTTCCGTATCGAGCGGCACGGATTTATTTCGAACCGTGTAGCATGGCATAGTCTGTGGCATAAGGAAATACGTCCAGCAATGTCATTCAATAATACCAGAGACTAGTGGCTTGCGGTTTTTACATCAATGACTCTAGGAATATTCCATATCGAGCTATTGGATTGCAGCAAAAATATTGAATGTAACTTTTAGTTCGGCACTCATATTTTTGCAATATCTATGGAGCGCCGTGTATAATTTCCGTCTCTCTCTCGCTGACAGTATTAGTCGAATCAATGAAAATCTGTCCCTATGTTAGAAAAAAATAAATTCGCAACCAGAATTTTATGTCGGATTCTTATTCTGGGCACCATATACAACTGATTTTCATAAAATGCCATTCTTGATTGTTCCTGCGTTTTTGTTTATAAGCGTTTAAAAATGCAAAAAACCGATTAAAATTTCTAACTCGTAAAGTGTAAGTTTCGGAATAAAATGTTTCAAACAATAAATGTAGGCATTTTTAAGACCTTCATTCTGGTTTTTTTTCGTCCATTTGTTGATTCTCTAAGCCGAAGAAACCTCTAAAAGTGGCCGTTTTTAAATTGTTTATAATTATTTATTGAAACGTGCTATAACAGTGAAATCATTTACAAAAGTAGCCCTCGTTACGCAGAATCCAAATCATTTTTCGAAACCTCGCTAGGTACATTATTTATCGAGATATTGTATTTGTTTATTAAAAAACACTTCCCTAAAGATTGTTAATTATCTCTCAGTTAGCTCGACATACAAAGACTAGAAAGAGCGCAAATGAAAGAAGAAAGAGTTAATATTCAATCATAAAAACGATAATTTGTTCATGAAGACTCGCAAAATAAACATCAGATATGAACGGATACGAAAATTCTTATAAACAAATTAATTTATCTGCCAAACCAGAAATCGTAAGTGAAATTGAATTTCAGCATCTTGTTCCTGGCATTTTTACGCAAATTTAAAAAAAAAATTTACTTCTCTAATTATATAAAAAGTGAAGTTAGGTTTTCTTTTTAAAAATCACCACGGCTTTATTTATTAAGAGCTGAAATTTGCTATACATTCGAACGAAATGTTGAACTTTTATATGTAAACGAATGCAACTATCAATCACAGTTATTTTTGCAACGATAATAATATTAACTAACGAAATATTCTGACTCCATCATGCACTCGCATGGGCAGCGGAAAGGGGAAAGGTTGAAGCGAGCTGTTCCGGCTGCTTAAAAAACTTAAAATTTACTTTTCAAATTGAAGCGCGCTGGAAAAAATAACAGTACAGTAACGCCACCGCTCGCAGCACGTGGGTTTCAGCATATCTTTTGTCTCTCTCAATAACAATCAATAACAGTCAATAACAGTCTGCTGACTGCTTCTTGATTTTCCAATTGCTAAAAATTACAATTTTTTGAAAGTGAAAAAAGTACATGTACAGTGAAGTTATATCTTTGCAACTTGACATAGTGTTACATAATAAATCTATGATGATGCTTCAATAGCTTTTTATGATAATTTGACATTTTTAGCAGTTCAAATTCAAGAAATACAGCAATACATATGTAAATTGACATATATTCATCAGTGTATACGTATGTCACTGTACTTTATGTATGTGTATATGACTGTATCATGTACATTATTCATGTATATTGTTGGATGTGATGAACAAGATTAGTGATAATTGATCAATTTTGAGTAATTTTTTTCCAACTATAGTGAATAAGTAGAGGACTGAGTTTAAGTTCTAATGTGAGATTGTTTATATTTGTGTGAAAAGTTGATTTGGACATAATCAACTTAGTTACCAGTTTCCACATAAAGCCCATATTGCGTATACTAACATTTTAGTACAACTTATAAAATGTAGTGATGAAATTGTCACATTTGGCTTGTGTGTCTCTCTGGGATAATTGAACATTGTCCTTGTGAGTCTAATATGTTAAAAATTCAAGTTGAATAACAGTTTTTTATTGTCCAAAAAGTTTAAAGTAGCCTCAGTGACATAAGAGTATCATTATGACATAAACTGGTGTATTTTTTTTTTTTTTTAACTCTTGGGCAGATACGTTTTATCTCAAAATTGCTTTGTTGCCGTAACTTTCCATGTGAACCATTTGAGCAAATGAGCTGAAATTTTCAAGGATTGTTCTACATGAGAATGGCTACAAACGCAAGCACTTTCAAAGGTATTGGGACAAATGAGCACTTTGTTCAGGCTATATTGTAGCATCACCTGTCATTTTATCATATATATTAATGAATAAATGTGTATATGTGGCTGGCAAATTGTGTATAACTAATTAAAAAATCTGAAAGTGCTTGCGTTTGTAACCACACATCTAATGATCAAAATGAGACCCTGAGGACCATGATTGAACCATCGGTTCTAGCTGGAACCTACGGCACAGGGGTACCTGTCAGATCTGTGGGCTTGTTTCATTGAGGAGGGTTCTATGGTGACTGGGACTTCAATTTACATTTACCAAATTAAAAAACTTTTGAAAAAGAGTGAAAAAAACAGAGTTTTCTCTGTTTATTCAAAAAAAAATTTTTTTTCTTCATTTTTAATAAATTTTTTACAAATGTAGGTTTAAGGTACCTTTCCCTCCTTAAGAAAAAAAACCCTTCTTTTACGAGTAAAAAATTCAAGAAGATTTGGTGTTCCAACCGCCATTTTGTTTACTTAAACTTTATTTTCTCCAATCTAAATCATGATAACTTTTAGTTTAGGGTCCATGGATGCTCAATTTGCACCCGAGACGCCAGGACTTCAATGATTTCCATGTGAAAATTTGAAAAGAAAATAATTTTTTTTTTTCGAAACCACGTTTTTTTTATAAAACCATCCATAACTTTCGACCGGTTGGTTACATAAAAAATCTGACACCAGATTTAAAAAGGACATTTAATTTTGCGTAGATTATGGCTACTCGCAATTTTTTCAGACCCCATTTTCAACAAAAATATAACGCCTCAAAAAAGTATCGAAAAAGTGTCCGACCCGGACTTCATGGGTTAAACGGTACATCCTCTGCAATTTCTATTTGTATAAGTTTATACACCTTATCATCTTCGCTCAATTCATGATATTGTTCCATAATATCCTCACGTCACTTAAAGTTCCCAATCATCCTTGGTATGAAATGATAAAAAAATGTTATAATTTAATTAAATACTTAAAAAATATATCAGCCAAAAAGTATTTCTTTCATAAAAATTTAGGCACAATAGAAAAGAAACGAATATTAGTGCATGCTCATTCGAATGGTTTTTCTTGTGGAAGCGTTCAGAAGTTTAAGAATAACTAGTAAATCATTGTTCTCCAATAATGTTAGAACATGAATATAATTACTTCTTAATGTTTATCAATAGTATGCCGCAATAAACTCGATCATCGATAATACCAAATGATTCAATTGCAGAGACAAAAAATTAATAACACTACGTAGTAAAAAAAGCAATTAACGAAGACTTACACCATAATTTTCATCATCATTTCCTACTGTTTCGAGTGATTCATTCGTTTCTGAACTGCCATTATATTTGAAAGGGGAGTTTCATCAGTGCTGAAGGAAGTTGCTGACGAATCTGAATCCTATAACACTTTATTATTTTGAGAAAACTTTCTTTCTTCTTTCATTATATGTTATACCTCGGGTGAATTATTTGATTTTTTTTAACTGTATGCGGTGATACCCTCAAAAAATCAGCTTTATTTACGGAATCATGCACACTCACTGATTCAGCCGATGGTCCATCTTCAATTTGTGGACTATTTTATGACTTTTGAATAATTTCACGGACCAGCTATATTCATAATTTAAGTATATATAATCGTTGATTTTTCAAAGTCATAGGCCATCCATAAAAACGAAATTATGGGAGTTATATTTGCTTCATAATTACGACGCCACGTTTCATTTCCTGAATTAGAGTCAGTAGAAGAGCTTGAACTCATTCTTTTTCGTTTTGCTTCTAAGTCTTAAAATGGGTAGTTCCAGGCGTTGATATAGATACAAATTTGCGTCTTAAATTATATTGGGGCATTGTTATCGATATGTTGCGTATATAATCTGTACAAAATAAAAAATAAATCCTCTTCGAGTAATAACGGTAAGACTCCTCGATCGGATGCAGATAAGAGAATGTAAAAAAATTCATTGAACTTTTCATATGAACGTCTTCAATGTTTCACGAATGAGCTAAACCTTCATTTTCATTTCAAAATGACTATGAAATAAACTGCTGAAAACTTCATGAATAATAATGACGAAATTTCTGTAGAATTAAGCATTTCTAATCCTCACAAATTTAATAAAGATTGCGACTGACAGCTGACCCGGGGGGGGGGGGGGGCNGGGGGGGGGGGGGGGGCAAAGCCGCAAATCTTCTGTCGTTGAATAAATTTAATACAGAACCACCTTACCTGGTCGATTACTCCCTGAGGGGATATTGGGCCCGTCGTCAGTGCGAGTTTGCTGTAGACTCGCTGACATTCCGTTGAACTCCGGCAACTTGCTCTGAAATCCGAAAAGAAATGTCACGAAATAAGTAGACTAGGATGTCAATTAAATGTGATGCATTATTTAATTCAAGGCCCGATTGTCCGGAAAACCACTTCAAATTGCCCAACGGGCGATGATTCACAATACTACGTGGAAAGACACAAGTTTGATCAAACTTTATTTCCAACTTTGCCCACCAGGGGCGCACTCAACATTCACGTCTATCGTATCTCGTGATGTGGTCCTAATCGGCCGAGTCAATATCGTCGACGATGGCGAGTGTACGTGTACTGACGTGACGTGGCACTCGAGCACTGATCTCGGCGATAGGATTTGTATACTGTCGCGAGCAATCTGCGCTGATGTTACAGGCCCGGATGCCAAACGCAATTCATATAACGATATTTGATTTTTTGGTCCTACAATTTTTGGATTCACGATTGTTTGGATATTTTGGATTTTAGACCTATTTTTGCCATTGGATCTTACGGTCTGGATTTTTTGGATTAGAACTTTTGTACCTCAATCATCAAAAGTAGCATTCGATCGTCAGGCCCACGTTTACCTTTTGATGATATTGTATATCCAATGAACAAAACTTCAGAAACACCAAAAACAGATTTTTGCACGTTAATTACCAGGCCATACCAGGAAAAACGTTCAAATACCGAACGCAAATGTTGCTTATGTTCTTCATAAGAATGAAAATAAAAAATAATATCGTCCATATATGGTCAAATCCAACAATAAAATGCAGTTTCGTTAACAAAAAAGGTGAAATTTTCTCTTGCGTTTCCAGCGGTCCTGGTCCCTGCAAAATGTCCCTAGAATTCCTAGGAGCAAAATAAACGAGTGAGCATGAAATTTGAAGATAGGTAATTTTTTTTGGTCACTTTTGCGTTTTAAACTCCGAAAAGTCATCTTTCCACGCAAATACGACTTATCACTCGATTTCCAAGTCGTTTAAAAAGTATGAAAACTCATTTAAAAAAAGTAACTGAATACTGTGTTCGATAGGAAATTTACTCAGCTTTCCAAAGTTAGATTTTCCAAAATATCCAATTTTCACCGAGAAAATCGCCATCAAACATTGAGGTTTAAATATATCGGAAAAATCTGTACAGAAAAGTGAATTTTTTGGTTTATTTTTTATTTTTTCTTATGAAAATTAAATACATGTCAAAAAAACGAAAATTGAATGTATGTCGAAAAATTTGACATAACCATGGAAAAGTAAAGCAAATTTCCTATCGAAAAGATATCTTCATTTATTTTTTGAGTCGAATTACAATCTTAACAAGCAGATTTTAATTGCTCTGTCCTCCGTTTACTGTTCTCCAGCTGCTTTCAGAGCGGTCTTGAGGTTTTTAGCGTTGCTCGCTACAATTGAAATTTGCTCGTTATTCAGCAAAGATATAATAGCGTATAATAAGCAAAGATATTATCGCAAAATTTCACTCAATGATAAAAATTAAACAAGTGAGACGCCTGGAGTGGCATCAGCACTACCCCTTTTTGAATGAATTTTAGAAGAAATTAAGGTATGAATTGTTAAAAAAAAAGTAAATCCTTATCAGTATATATTTCTCGAAGACACAATACGCTAAGAGATAAACAGGAGAGAAGCGACTCGACGAGCACGCGGTAGCATAAAAGCACATTACGCAGCGGGACGAGATAAGCGCACGACGTAAAGACGCAAGGACAACTCTTTTTTCCGCAACGATCGGTCAATTCGTAGGCATTACATCGTACGCGCTGCACATACGTGAAATAAAGCAACCGTAAAACTTGATATTAGCTTCAGCGTTGGTTTCAGTGGGCTCTACGCTTACAGTCTATGCCGAGTAAGCGCCACGGTGGCGAGAAATTGAAGCGCGCAGTCAAGCAGTCACTACTATAAGCGCGAAGTTATTTTTGAACTTATTAGATCAATATTAATAACTGAATGATGAATTAAATAGTAGGTATTGTTATTAATAATTGTTATAATATTTATAAATTCTAAAATGGTACATTGATTAACATAGATGCAGAGCCCGTGTTTGGCTTTGTTAATGTTTTCTTGCCGGTGCATCATCATTTTATACCGTATTAATCTAGTGTACATTTTGATCTAATATATATTAACAAATAAAAACGATGCGCATATATTTACATAACGTGTGCAAACATCGCTCGACTATTTCTTCGTTAAAAGTATCATATAAGAGATTGTTCGTATAATAATGTAAGATACACCATATCATTAATCAAAAAAATCAAATAAAAGCAACACATTAACAAAAAATTTATGAATAGGATCATGTTTATGTTTAGAAGATAAAGCTGAAAAAAAATTTGAAAATTCCTTCGCGCACATAGATCGCTGACCGCTTAACTGCGGCTTGAATGTTTCGGTTTCTCGCCACTGGCGGCGCTTATTTGGCATAGACTGTGAGCGTAGAGCCAACTGAAACCAACGCTGATTAGCTTTGTATTGCGATATGTCAGAGAATAAACGCATATTATTTCATAGGTCGAACAGGCCGCGTTTGCGATCGAGCACGGTAAACAAGATCACCTTCCAAGTCAGAATGCGAAAAAACGTACAGAAAATAAATGAAACTTGATACATCAAAATGTAGAAATGGAAATAAAAATAAAACACGGAAATCACTAAAAGTATTTCAATCATGATCATTAATATATTATATTTTATTTTCAGCTCAGCACGGTCAATTACTTGAATGCCTAATGGCATTAAAAACAGATGTAGTCAAAGATATTTTATGCGTTATTGCATATGGCACGATATCTGCAAGACTATCCGCAGTCAAATTACTGTTTTATTACTGGCCTACGCTTATCCCAAACAGCATTGAAAGAAGATCAATGACACTAAAATTTGAATGTAAGTTAAAAATATATACATTTTTAAGCTTGCTTAGTATTTATTTTTGGGCAAATGACCGTTTAAAAATAATATAATAGTAAAACTCGACTACTACTCTTATAGATAAAATTGTAATGATATATCGACCAGCGCTGTCAATAAGTACATTTTTGTGTACGTTTGGTGGTCCAAAAAAATGGACTTGAAGGTCTATTTTCTACTTATTCTAATGAAAATGTAAATTATCGAAAAATCCAACTGCACCATGGAAAGCTGAGAAAATTTTCTATCGAAACCATATGTTTATTTATTTTTCCAAACAAATCAAAATGTCATACGAGCGAGTTACAAGTTACAGTCACAGAGCAAGGCTGGAAATCACACCGAGCGACCGAGCGCTAACTAAAACCTCCCGTATTTTCTTTAGTTTTCATCAAAAGTACTCTCTGAAAACTACTATACCCGATGTAAAGAGACCTCATCTTTCGATTGGAATAATAAAAAAAAACAAAAAAGTGTCTTTTTTCGAGATATTGAGCTCTAAATGTTTGATAGCAATTTTCCCGGTGAAAATGAAGAATTATGGGAAATCCTATGTCACCATCGGAAAGCTGAGGAAATTTCCCATAGAAATCATTAAATAGTAATTTTTTTAGGGGTGTTTTGATACTTTTACAGGGAGTTAGAAATTGAGTGATTTGGCCAAAAAATGCCATGCGGCAGAGTGCTAGGATACTTCAGGAAATTTGCCCCATATTGAAAAATTCATGGACAATGCTATTAATGTCTTATAAATATTATTTAAAGATTTTATTCTTTAAAGATTATTCAAATATTTTGTTTTTTAAATAATATTTTGTAAACCATTGACAAGTCAAAAGTCGCAAAAATTCCAGTTACTGCCATTTTTCGTGTTTTTTGACGATAAATTTTCAAAATGTTCTATACTCTTTAGAAATCGGTTACAGGCAAACCCCGTTATTCGCGGGGGTTTGGTTTCAAAAAAGTACCGCGAATACCGAATCCGCGAATACCGAAGCATTGTTCTTATGGGAAAAGGGGGGTTCGGTTCCTCGTCCGACTGAAATGTCAATATACATATTAGTAAAAAAATTTTTTATGAGAAAAAATTAAAGTTTTGATCAATATTTTTTTATTTTGTAGTAAAATATTGAGTCAAAATTTTTATTTTGCTCTGCGCAATAGATCTTTGTACAAGTTTTTATAACACTCTAATGATTTTTCGATATCTTGTCTAAATTGAAGGCTTCGAGTCATGATTAGGTCGTGATTTAATGCTCGTTCAATGAGACGCTCTGCATCAGCCAAAATATTTTCAACTACTTTCGCAGTAAGAACAGGCTCGGGTTCTTCATCTGCAATCATTTCTTCTTCAGCTGCTGTATTTTGCACGATTGCATCAATTTCATCGACGCTTCGATCGATCGATGATCGATCTTATTGTAGATTCATTGACGTTAAATCTTCGCGCTAGAAAAGCCACTTTTTCGCCCTCCTTCAGAGCATCTAAAATTTTGATTTTTTCCACCAAATTCAGCACTTTTTTATTCCTCTTCGAAGGGCAATTCATAATTAAAAAAAAGTTTTTAAAATTTTTTTAAAAATTTATGCGCGAAAAAAAGGTTAACTTTGAGCGAAGAAACCGCGAATACGGAAACAAAATACCGCGAATACTGAAGTGAGGTCACAAACAGGGTTACCGCGAATATGGAAAATCGCGAATACCGAATCCGCGAATAACGGGGTTTGCCTGTATTAGGACCCTATGTGTTGAAAATTTTTTTTCTTACTTTTTCGGTACAAAAGATGAAAATCCACCGTACTGGATCCCTGAAAAGTCAATAAATCGCTCACAGCAATTTTTCCAAAAATACCCGAAAAATCGTTAAATTTTATTAAATGGGCTATAAAATTTCGTTGTATGGACTTTCTGTGGACTTCGAATGACTTTATAGGTATTGAACATTGGTGATATACCGTATTTAGTAGTGTAAAAATGCTCATCAAGTCATATGACTATTTCAAATGACTAATTTTAAAGAATGAACAATTTTGAATTTTTTTTAGGCATAAATGTATTAATTCACGTTTTTTATCCTACTTGATCGTTGATCGACCTTTTAAAATTGATATTTTGCGCTCAAAATTTATGGAACTTCTTGTTATTACTTGTTGAAGACAATTAGAGGCTAAGCGAGCGTATGTAAAAAAAAAGTTTTTTTTGGTCCACCCTAGTGTACGTATAATTTACCTTAAATTATTTTTTGTGTAAATCCGAATCAATTGATTATACAATTGAGTAGATGGGGTTTTAGAGGAGAAATCTGATGCCATCAATACACTCTATTACCTAAAAGATGTCTCGTATTTTTTAGTTAAATCAAAAAAATCCTTTTGCCGAATTTTTAGTCTAGATTATTTGGAAGTAACGAATGAAGGTCATAATTTAAAAGTAAGTACTGATCATTTAATAATTGAAACCACAAATACTTTCAAAACATAAAATAACAACACTTGAGGAGGCTCTATACATAATACAAAAAATTATTCAACAAGATAAAACTTATATCAATCAATTTGTTAGATCTTCAAAATGAGATTCCAAAAAAAAAACATGCGGTTGACGATCTAACTTTCGAGATAAACAAGTTTGAAAATGGCGATTTTAACAGGGGCTCTTATGGGATGTGGTTTTTTATTGTTTATAACTAATTTAAAAGATCATCCATGTTAATAAAAACTATATTTTCTAAAAGAGAAAGTTCCAAGCTTTCGATTGGTATATTAAAAATTACCTCTCAACGAACTAACTAATGAGTAATTAAACAAAATGTGTGTAAAATCATTGATTTCAAATAGTGCGAGCGGTTGTCTGCCTAATGCGAATAAAAGACAGACAGATGCCTCGCTGTACTATTGTTATGATTGGTGTAGAGCCTCCTTAAACTACTCGAATATATACGAAATTTTTTAAATTATATAATTAAAAAAAAATTTAATATTTAAAATTATATATTTAAAAAATTAAAAAATTAAAACATACATGTACTTATGAAAGCGATGGTCAGGGTACAACGAGCAGTTCACAGTTTAAGAAGGAATCGGCACATTTATAATTAAAAAGTGCTTAATTTTGCAATTTTCTAAACTCGTAGTTGAATCATCAACAGTTTCAATTAAGGTTTACTCAACGTTGTTATAACGTTGATACAACGTTTAGAAGATTTTAGGAAGCGGACATTTGAACGTTAAACGGAAAGGAGGCTTGGACAGGAGCGAGAAATAATAAAATTGAGTATTTTAGTACAACTCAGGTTTATTTACGTTCCCTAGGCCAAGCTCTCGTGGGCGAGCGAGTTCCGACTCCGGCAAGTCCAGGAGTGGAACTGCCTGCCGAATCAAATCGGCGCTGTCTTTTATACCGCTGGCCGGTCGGCGCGCGAGCCGGCAGCGGCTAAGTGGCGGAGTGGGGATACGCACGCAGGGGTCCCGTGCCGTTGGCGGGTATCAAACTGCCTATATGTATTAGTTGTAGTTACGAACACATGAATCCTGAAGAGGCCGACAAAGTAGTCGGTGAAACGTCGACTAGGTGATGGGAAGTGTGGGATTGGGCACTTCCACTCACCGCTTATTTTAATAAATTTTGACTTTGGCACAGCCTTTATTGCCGTTTTATTTCATTGATATTTAGAAAGACCTACCAAATAAAAAAATCAAACATAACAATAGCTTATTTAATCTTTATTAACAAAGCTTAATGAAGCTTAATGAAGCTTAATGATGATATTAAAAAAATGTTATCCATTTTATTGGATTTCTACTGTACGTTTCAAGTTTTTTTTTATGTATATGATTACTGCGACGGCATAAAATCAAACTATTCTTTTTTTGCATGCACACAGAGCCTCCAATGATTTTGAAATATTCTTTTTCTCATGAGGAGCTAAATGCGTCTAATTATTTACTCGTCGATAGTACACTTCGACGGTCCCCACGAAGAGTAACACGTTTGTATGTTAATTTAAATGGAAACGTGTACTCTTCGTAAGGACCGTCGACTTATACATAACCATTTTAAAATTAGATGTATATATGACCACAATTACATATGTAAGATTTTTGATATTACTTATTTTTATAATATACTCTGTAATGCCGGAACGAGCATTATCCGATGGGCCGTCCTAACGAACCATCGTCAACTTGTCGACAATATATTTAGTTATGAGAATAGTTATTAACAATTGTATTTTGAATCTTATTTCTTGTGACCACCGAGTGTGAGATGACAGAACGTAAAAATGCGTGTACGTATATATATGAGTGATTCTGACTAACTTTTAAAATAACGCCTAAAAAAATTTTTGATGAAAAATTTAGCGGCACAGTATCCAGAATGAATTTTTCTTGAATATTATCAACAAAGAATCCCAAAAATAACTTTGGGCTTTATTTTCCTCCATAGTCCATTTGGGAAACCCGATTTAAATGTGGGTCAAAATAAAACTTCTTCAAATTTTCGAATGACACCGATCTAGATGCGCTTTTGATATGTTATAGTACATGGTAAAAAAATCCTAAAGCCAAAATTTTACTCCCCATCCCCCCCTCCTACCCCCTCCACCCCTATAAACGTCCATTCTTTATTTATATTCATTCTGAAGCCCTGAAGTAATTAAAAAATCTGAAAAAATTCATAATAGTACATATCAACAAAACTAAGCACCTTGAATTTCTTCAGATTTTTCGAGGGCTTCAGGCCTTCAGATAAAATAATTAAAAATTTGGAAAATTTATATACGGCGATACGAGCCAATATCAAACTCGAAAATTTTTTTCTCTGTTTTATGCATTGAAAAACATGACCTTAAATTTCTTTGGATTTTTTCAAGTTTCCTTATGCACTTTTTGAAGCGAAAAAACCCCTTTTTCTTTCATGTGTTTTCATGTGACATTACTTATATCATCCCGCACATAATTATCTACGTAGGCGAATTGCGTAGTCATTATAAATGAATTAAATGTAAAATTTTTTTTTTACGGCCTTGCCCTTGATGATATAGCAAAATTTTTTAAATAAAAAAAGAAAGTGTGTGAAAAAAAATTATTTGTTGAATAATTTATTTATTCATGATAAGAAAAAAATTTTTCATGAAAAAAAATATATTTATAAAAATTTTTCATGAAAAAAAAAATTTTTTATAAAAATTGTTTATAAATTTCCCATGAAAAAAATTTTTTTTATAAATTAATTAATTTATTCATAGTAGAAAAAAATTTCATGAAAAAAAAATTTTTTTCAAAAATTTTTAAGTGATTAACGCAGGATTATCGAATGTTCAATCCAGCGTACAATTCTTATTAAATAAGGGACAGAGTTCTGGTTGGGCTCATTTTGTTCGTCTTTTCCAGCCCTTTTTAAACATGTATACAGATATAAAAAAAAACAATAGTCCATTGTAAAAAATGAAAATGTATAAAAAAAGCTAAAAGTTCAAATAATCCAGTACGCGCGGAAAACATTCTGGGAAATTTCCAATTTAGGAGGATCAAGTTCAGGTCACAAATTTTTCTAAAGTATGTGAATAAAGGAAGGTAACATGATAATTTCAGATCATTTGGTTAATAGTCCATTTTTTAAGAAGCTATCGAAAATTTATTTTATTCGCAGTACGTTTTTTGACTCAAGAGTAAAATCGATTTTCAAACGTGCGATACAAAAAGGACGGGCCACCAAAACGCTCAAAAATAAAAGTGTAGATCTCTCAAGTCTTCTTAAAGACCCTGATAAAATTTCAGAACTGTGCATGGTAAATTACCTGACTTACACATCAGTACGTGCAATTTTAAAAGTTAGTCAGAAACACTCATATAAGAACGTATGTGTGAACAGACCAAGGATTTGGAGATTATCTTTGAGATCAAAAAGAGCTCTTGTCTGCGAGTTGAGCACGAAATTCTTGGAATGTCTGAGTGGCTCAAGTGAAGAGTGCGAGTGCTGGTACGAGTCAACCGGAGTGCGCGAGAGAGAACAAATAGATTCAGCGGCGGAGTTTACCACACGGACAGCATAGTGTTAATATTGAGTGTATGTTTTTTTGAGTGAGAAATTGTGATTTTCTGTAGTACCCTTTCTTTCTCCCTGTTGGAACAGGCACTGTAAAGCGTCTACACGCTCTCTCAGAACGGAACTGCAAAGGCAAAAAATATACTAGTCATTTTTTTGAAATTAATCGTGCTTAAATACACTCCTACAATGTAGACTTTTCAATAGCTTAGCAAAGACCAATTTGACATAAAAAATAGCGTGAACTGGAAACCTTTTTTGAAAAATTTTTTCTTATGAATTTTTATGAATTTATGTTAAACAATTTATTTAATTCGAGAAAATGTTTTAAATGTTATAATCCTCTTTTAGATGGAACTACTTTATTCATATGTCAAAAAAAAAATTGCTCCAACGCCGGCAGTGCTGAAGCTACCAAAGTTTGTTATAATCATAAATTGTCAATATCTTATTCGACGGACTCACCACCTCCAATTTACCTATGCATAGAGTGTGCCAATGAAATTCACCGGGAAAATGCGAATGAAGTCTTTCACGATATTTTACATCCTGTTCAACATGGAATGATGATTTGTGAAAATAAGGTAAACTAAAATTTTTATGATGTGTTAATTTTTTTTTTATTGAGATACGATCATGAGATGGATAGTTTAACAACATATGTAAAGAACCCTCGGCTGATAAATTGCACGTGCTCTAAGAATTTCCAGTTTTTCACTCCCTAGGTGCAAAATATACTGTTCTTCACATCAAATTTGCCACACTCAAGACATTCATACGTTACTTGTAAAAGTATCAGAGGGTACAGCATCCGCTGGTTAAAGGTGGAGCGGTCCCGTTTCCTGTTGTTCATATACATTTCTCATAAAAAAATTTAAAAATAATTGTATTGAGTTCGTGTAAAAGCCATCTTAAGATGTTTTGGACTCAGTATGCAGTTTTTATTTAACATTGGTACAAAAATTATTATTAAAAATTTATCGCCTTAACAAAATGTTTGGGAATTTCATTCCGTGCTTCGCGATTAGAGATTTTTCGCTCGATGAGTTCGAGTTCAAGCCCGACGTGGTACGGGTTTCAGTATAAATAACCGAGGTTGATAAGTCAAACCTCAGAGCTTGGTAATAACCCACAAACACAACGGTGATGGGTGGCAAGAAATGTGTTGAAAATCATAAATGTTTGTGACTCTCTTATTTTAGTATGTGCTATGCTTGTGTGTGTGTGCGAAGTGTGATTCGTATGGTATACGCGCGCTCACGCGAGACGCTGGCCCAAGAGTGGGGATAGCAGTCCCTTCGTGCCTGTGCGCTCGGCGCTCGGCAGATTACGTCCGACCACGGCCGCGACAACACATACTCTTTTTTATTTTTCTTCTGTCTTATATTTATAATAATAAATCTGTTAAATATAAACATTTATATTATATTTATTTCACGACCTCCCAATAAAATGTACTTACCAGACGGATCAAGAAAGCTAGAGCTCATAAGACGGAGCCAGACGGTGATGAGTCACTAGACTCATAGGAGAATAGTGTCAGAGGCAAGAGCTGAATCACAAGAAAGCACTAGTGGAGCGAGATTGAGTCCTCAAAAGGTGACGCTGGACAGCGAAAAAGAGGCTCACAAGAAGACTTCTACGGAGAACACCGGCAAAGAAAGTTCCTTAGGGTTGGTACGTTACTCAGCCCAACCTGAAGTCTTGCAGTGGACTGGAATTTCCACACCAAGGAAGAGACACACTTACGTACTTACTAGGCCCTATCCGGTAGAACGTCATGTACAATGAGATACCGAGTCTGAAACTGCCTGAGACGGTATCGGTTGTTGGTTTAGCGAACGATATTTGCTTATCTCACTGACATTAAGCTCATCTTAGTTAGCAAATATTTGGAAGATATTGAGATGGACACTTAGCGAATTAATGAAGTAGAGCACTTCAATTTCCGTCACTTGATGAAGTGTAAAAGTCGGGATGGTGTCGGCGACTAATAGTGATGCGCAGTTCATCATCTCCTCAGACAGTGGCACTGCACCACCAGACACATAATGATTATTAAGCTCGTCCGGTAAAAAAAGAAGTAGCGGTAAAAAAAGAAACATAGAAAACTCACTTTAATCCTTATTCATAGTTGTACATCTTTAAAGTGCAGAAAACAACATTTAATTTGGTTACTTAAAGCTCTCCAACTCTTCCTGTCTTCCGGAGAAGGTCGGCAGCGTGAGAGCAGGCAACGGGAAAAATGACTGCAGTTCGAGCTCCCGGCTTGACTGATCTTGGTCTGCATAGTGTGCTTAAAGAGCATATAGGTTTTCCAAAAATACCTCCAAATTCTGTTGTAAGTGTTTGAAAGAATGTAAGCCACTGAATATGAAACCGATTGAACAAAAATCCTAGCTGCAACTCTAGAGAAATGTTCTTTTAAACCGCATCAAACTGTTATTGCCGTCATTTAATATTGCTGTTTTTTGGGAGGTCATTCACTTGAAACATATTAAACTCACTTTAATCCATATTCACAGTTGTACAGCTCTAAAGTGTCAAAAAAAACCTTTGATTTGGTTACTTTAAAAACATTTGAAATCATATAGAACCGGATATACAGCTATATGAAGATTCACGAATAATTTAAGAATTAAATGTGTGAACCGTTGATGAACTAGATTTGATACGTGGATTTGTCATGAAACTTCATACAGCTGTATTTCCGGTTCTGTGTGACTTATCATTTTTTTAAAGAGACCAAATTAAAGGTAATTTTCAGCACTTCAAAATTGAACAACTAAGAATATGGTTTAAAGTGTGTTTAATATTTTTCAAATGAACAAAACTAAAAACAACAACTTATCATTTTTTTCTCGATTTCTTGTCAAACGTTTTTTTGCTATATCTTCGGTCTTGTTTGTCATAAAATGTTCTTAATATGACCAAATCAAAGGTTCTTTCGTGTTCTTCAAAGCTAAATAATAATTTATTATGGGGGCACAACAGTTTGAATGCGAGTAAAATGAAACAAACCGTTAGAAAAAAGACAAATATTTAATATTGTCATATTTTTTCGATGTTTTTTGGCAGTACAGTAATATTTTCGTATTTATTTTTTAGTAATCAGCAAAGCATGAAAAGTTACTTTTCATTCTAGTTTGAAGATTGGATGCTTATACGCATGTCTCAAATCCAGCTCAGAAAAGGAAGTACCGCCTTGGAGTTAGGCAAAGATATCGTCAATAGTGTGGAGCGGGTATTTATCGATAATTATGTGTGGATTTAACGTAAGCTGAAAATCCCCGCAGATGCGGATATCTCCGTTTCCTTTTAACACCATCACTATTAGTGTATCCCACTCCGATATTTTCACGGCTTTTAAATGCCCCAGTGCTAATAATCTGTCTATCTCCTTTTCTACTGCTGGCTTTAAGGCACGCGGTACTTGTCTACATTTGAGTGCCACGGGCCGTACATTGTCTCGCAAGTGTATTTTTGTTTTACTTTTTTTGTATAAGCCCGGTGTGTCTGCTAAGAGTGGTTTGTACTTCTGTGTCACATACTTTTGCAAGTTTTCTTTTATTAGATTGATTTTACTTGAACTTACTATTGGGACTATTAGCGGCAAGAATCCGAATCGAGCCAACCATTGCCGTCCTATCAAACCAGGTCCGGAGCCCGATAGGATGTAATGTTTTGCTTCTATTTTAATGCCGTTAAAAACCGCGGTCAAGTTATTTATGTCATATGTGTACAGTAGAATGATAACGCTAGTGCGCTGCGCGCGCCACTGTTTGAACGCTGTCGCTCACATCTACGTTACTTACTCAGGCTTGAACCGCGACACTAGTAGCACGCGCAACATACATACTGTATTTCATACTTATTATTATACTTACTTAATAAATACTAAAACTAACGACTAATGTGTTGAATGATTTAATGCAAATACATTACAATTTAGTTCGCCTGAAGGCGTCAAAGCATGTCCATCGTATGCTTGTAGTTCTTTACTTGTTTTTATGATTTCGTGACTCTTGTGGTAAGTATGATAAATTTGCTCCGAAATTACCGTCCAAAAGGAACTCGTATCTCCTAGGAAATAAATATTTATGTTTTTGACTTTGATTTCAAGAAACATCAGCTTTATGCCTGCGTCGGCTGAGCTTGCATAAGTATGTCGGGCATCGTTCGTTCGACATTCCGTTATCGAGAAGAAATTTTGCTCATAATCGCTTATTTCGTCTTCGCTTTCTGATGGTGACGCAATTTTCTTTATGTTGTCGTCGGTAGCATTCGTGTTACAAACCCGCGCTAAATGCTTCTTTTTCTCGCATTTTCGACATTCGTAATCTCGATAACGGCAGTCACGGCTAACTTGATTGTGCTTACCATGGCGATGGCATGGCTTATCGCTCGGCGACTTCTGCTGCTGCTTCTGTCATTATTGCTGCCTCTGCTGTCTCTGCTGCTGCTTAAAGTGTCTTTGCTTCGCTGCGCGACCTTGCTGCCAAACTGGTTTTGGTGCCGTTTACGTGTAATACACGTTGATTTTTCCGCCTTTGTTATCCAACGTGCTGCTGGCCGAAGCCGCGTTTTTTACAGCCGATTCTCCTGCGATTGCATTTTCCGTCGCTTTTGATAGAGTCAGCGTTTTCTCTTCGAAAAGCTTGATTCGTGTATCGGTGTCTGCGATTCCACACACTAACTGGTCTCGTATAGCATCGTCCAATTTATCAAAATTGCAATTTATAGCCAATTTCTTTAATCGGGCTACAAATTCAGCAATTTTTTTCCTGTCGTTTTGCTTTGCCATGTGAAATGTGCACCTCTCGATAGCTTCTGAAGGCTTTGGCTTCAGTTGATGGACCATGACCTTGATGAGCTCTTCATATGTTTTCCCGGTTATTTTTGCTGAAGATAGAAGTTACTTTAAAAGAGCGAGCGCCTCTCTGTGCAATCTCATCACGAGTGTGGCTACTTTGATTTTGTCATCTGTAATGTTCTTTGTGAGAAAGAAGCAATCTAACTTCTTCTCAAACAGCTCCCAGTCATCGTCCAATTGGAACTCGAATTTTACCTCGGAGTTTTTAATCGTAGTTCTCAACAGCTCTTGGAGAACGTTAAATTTAGCTTGTGTGTCAAATTCCACCGCTCGTTTCTTCAATTCTTCAATGCCTGGCCGATTTTTTTGTTAATATGCTGCGCCTTTTCACAACACTAACTAACTCGTGCTGTATCGTTTATCTTTGGATACACTTTTACACGCGCACAGTTCTTGTTAATCCTCTTCGCCAGTTGTTATATATTGGTATCGGGAGAATAAAATAGAACCAGGAGGATAATGTGAAAGTAGTATAAGCTTTATTTACGACGTTGCTACATATTGGTAGACCCGCGGTGCGCTATCGGTATGCGTAGATTACAAACGTACCGAGGGATATATGCGTAGTGTGGTACAGTGTGTACGCGAGTAGTGATAAATAGTTATGTGGATGATCTTTTCATCAAAGCTTTTCATGACCTACAATCGTCGCTTTCGAAAGATCTTGTTTTGCAACTAAACATACCTGATCGCGAGACAGAGCTTCATTGTGATGCGTCG